TAGGCAGGGGCTCTACCACTGAGCCACACCCCAGCCCCTCACTGGGGGATTCTAGGCAGGGGCTCTACCACTGAGTCACACCCCAGCCCCTCACTGGGGGATTCTAGGCAGGGGCTCTACCACTGAGCCACACCCAGCCCCTCATTGGGGATTCTAGGCAGGGGCTCTACCACTGAGCCACACCCCAGCCCCTCACTGGGGGGTTCTAGGCAGGGGCTCCACCACTGAGCCACCTACTAGCTCCTCATTGGTGAATTCTAGAGAGGTGTTCTATCTCTGAGCCACACCCCCAGGCTCTCCCTGAGCCACACCCAGTCTTTTGGGATGACTGTCTTTCCTGTAGCTGTGTCTGCAGGACCTGGCCCAGAGTAGGACTGTTGTAATTATTGCGGGATGACCGTCTTCCTCTGCACTATAGCTGCATATTGATCTATCTGTCTCTCCCGCTCCATGTGCACTTGCTCTTGGTTGTTTGGGAAACAGGTCTCTCTATGTAGCCCCGACTGGCCTCGATATTTGTATATAGCCCAGGCTAACCTCAAGCTCCTGGCTCAGTCTCGGAAGTAATAGGATTACAGGAGTAACCATGGGTGGTCCACCACCTTCCAGTGAGCCACCACCCTTCACCTCCCCTTCCAGTTGTCCGTCTGAAGTCTCCTCCTCTTTGGGCATCCTGTCATGGGTGGAGGGAGGCTGGGGAGCCCGGAGAGCCAGAGTCCCCGGCTCCTCTCCCAACATGTGGGTGACTTTTGCAGTGACTGGCTGTCTGTCCGAGCTCCAGATCAGCTATGTGTGCCGGGAAGTGCTCCAGGTGAGAAGAGGCCAGGGGGCTCCCAAAGTGAGCAGGGCCCTGCCCAGGCAAAGGGGCTCACCAGCCCGTCCTTGCCATCTCTCCCCAGGGTCTGGCCTACCTGCACTCGCAGAAGAAGATACACCGAGACATCAAGGTAGCCGGGGACAGTGGTGTCGCTGAGGGAAGGTCGTGGGGCCTGCTAGGGCTCCTGACAGTTGGAGCTTTAGGGTGGAGTCACAGGGGTGGGAGCCAGGCTGCAGTGGGGAGGGCGGTCTCTGACAGCTTCTAATTCCTCCTCTGGTCCCCAGGGAGCCAACATCCTCGTCAATGACTCCGGGGAGGTTAGGCTGGGTGAGTGTGGCTGGCGGGCGGGCTACAGAGGGAGCTGGTGGAGGTTGAGGAGGGGTGGGGTGGACACACACTATTTCTGTCTCTGCCTCCAGCTGACTTTGGAATCTCAGCCCAGATTGGGGCGACATTGGCCCGACGCCTCTCTTTCATTGGGACACCATACTGGTGAGGGGTGCTGGGTCAGTGGCTGGGTGGGAATGGTGGCGTTTCCCGTTTCCGCTCCCCAGAAAGTCCTTGGCTCTGCCCTCTCCTAAAGACCCTTTCCCTCTCTTAGGCTACCTTTTGAGTTTTCCACTTATCTATGTCTCTCTCTGGCCCTTTCTGCCCTTTCTCTTAGTGTTTGGATTTCAGTGGTGCTGGTTGTGGGGTGTGTGTGTGTGTGTGTGTGTGTGTGTGTGTGTGTGTGTGTGTGTTGTTTGTTTGTTGACACCGGCTCTGCTTTAGTTCAGGCTGGCCTTGAACTCCTGATTCTCCAGTCTCCAGTTCCTACAGTTTTAGGATTACAGGCATGCACCACCACCGCACCCAGCTTGGGTTGGTTTTTCCCTTGATCTCTATCTCTCTCTAAGTCTATTTCTGTGTTTTCTCAGCCTGTGGCTCTCTCTGTTTCTCTCTCTAGACTTTGGCTTTACTGTGTCTTGTGGACATCACTAAGCCATACTCCCAGCCTCCCTCTCTCCTGTTTCGAGACAGTGTCTCCCTCTGTAGCCCAGGCTGGCCTCAAACTCATGGTGCCTCTCCTGCTTTGGCCTCCAGAGTGCTAGGACCCCGAGTGTTCCCACGCTCCCCTTTTCCTCCGCCTTCGGCCACTTTGTCTTGGTGTCCCTGTCCCCTGGCTCTGTCTGTGCCCCATGTCCCCTGACCCTACGTCTCTCCTCTCCCTGGACCACTCCTTGCTCTCTGAGGGTCTCTGCCCACAGGATGGCTCCAGAGGTGGCAGCTGTGGCCCTGAAGGGTGGATACACTGAGCTGTGCGACATCTGGTCTCTTGGCATCACGGCCATCGAGCTGGCCGAGCTCCAGCCGCCCCTCTTCGACGTGCACCCTCTCAGGTAAAGGCTGGGGTGGCGGGTGCCCCGGGCACAGGGCCGTGCCCAGGCCCGACCCTCACCTAGGGAGACTCCTGTGGCTCCCTGAGCACAGAGACCTTTCCTCAGCTTGCCATAGTAAGACCTCCAGCTCAGTGTCCCTATCTGTTTTGGGGGGCAGGGTGTTTAGAGACATTTTCGCTTGTGTAGCCCTGGCTGGTGTCCAGTTTTCTGTGTAGCTGAGGATAGCCTACATTCCAGATCCTCTTGCCCCAGCCTCTCACAGGCCTTATGGATGTCTATCATCTTTTGTTTGTTTGTTGTGGAGACACGCTCTCCCCATCTCCCTATGTAGCCCAGGCTGGCCTCAAACTCACTCTATAGCCCAGGCTGGCCTTGGATTCTGATCCCCCTGCCTTAGCCTCCCAACTGCTGGCATTACAGGTGTGGCCCTCCATGCCCAGCTAGACATCCCCGCCTGGAGATTCATTCTGGATGGGCTAAAGCTTCAAATTTTCCAAAACATCATAAACAGCTTCTCTTAGAAGTGACTTCAAGCCGGGTGTGGTCATCCTGTGATCCCAGCACTCAGGTAGCTGAGCCAGGCGGTCTGGAGTTTGAGGCTAGCCTGAGCTACATAACAAACTCCTATCTAAAAGCAGGAACAAAAAGGGGGTGGCCATATTGGATTTAAAACCAGAACTGTATTTCCTTCTTGTGTGTATACACACATATGTAAGCATGTGTGTGGAGGTCAGAGGTCAGCCTCTGGCCTTGTTCTTCAGGCACTGTCTACTTTGTTTGTTTGTTGACAAGGTCTCTCACGGGCCTGGAGTTGGAAGATTGGGCTAGCCTGGCCCCCACCACAGAGCTCCACCTGTCTCCACCTTCCAGCACTGGGTCCTATGCTCATCCCCCGACCCAGTTTATTCGTTTACACACATGTGGCAGTCAAAGGACAGTTTACAGGAATTCATTTGCTACTTCCTCTTTGTGTGTCCCAGGAACTGAACTCAGGTCATCAGGCTTGGCAGCAAGTGCTTGACCCTCTGAGCCGTCTCCCAGGCCCATATGCTCAGCTTTTCAAAATAATTTTTAAATTTTTATTTTTGTGTATTTGGGTGTGTGTGAATGTACGTGCACATGTGTGCAGGTGCACACACCTGTGGGTGTGCAGAGGCCAGAGAAGGGTGTCAGGTGTCCTGCTCTGTCACACCTCACCTTACTCCTCTGAGACAGGGTCTCTCTCTGATCTTGGAGCTGGGCTGGTGGCCAGCAAGCCCCAGGGTTCCTCCTGCCTCTGCTTCTACAACACTAGAGTCACAGGCATGCCCCACTTCTTGCAGGGGGCCTGGAGACTTGAACTCAGATCCTCAGGCTTGCATAGCAAGTGCTCTTACCGTCTGAGCCATCTCCATTTGGGAACTCCTGAAGCGATGTGATTTGTCCCCATGGTTCTGAACCCCATGTTCTCCCTGCTGCTCTAGGGTTCTCTTCCTCATGACAAAGAGTGGCTACCAGCCTCCTCGGCTAAAGGAAAAAGGCAAATGGTAAGGGAGGTGACCTGAGGGAGGGCTGAGGAGGGCAGAGGAGTGGGGTGAAGGGCTCAGATCCCCTCATCCCAGGTCTGGCTTCTTCCTCCCAAGGTCGTCTGCCTTCCATAACTTTGTCAAAGTCACCCTCACTAAGAGCCCCAAGAAACGCCCCGGTGCCGCCAAGATGCTCAGTGTAAGCCATCCCTCCTCAGGACTCCCTCCCTCCCCTCCTCCTCAGCCCAGGACTACATAGGACCCGGTGGCCCCTTCCAAACCCCTAGTTCCTCAGAATTTCCCAGGACTCTACCCACAGGACCCTCCAAACTGTACCGGGAGACCAGGCCTGGTGGCCGGAGTCTGCAGTCTCAGGCAGAGGTGGCAGGATCAGAAGTTTAAGGCCATCTTTGGTTATGTAGGGAGTTTGAGGCTATCCTGAAGATATTTCTTTTATGTTTGGTTGTTGTTGTTGTTGTTGTTGTTGTTGTTGTTGTTGGTGGTGGTGTGTGTGTGTGTGTGTGTGTGTGTTTGCGAGCACACTTTTTCTCTTGTTTTCATCTGTTTTGTTATGGTCTCATGTAGTCTAGGATAGCCTCACACTTGCTATCTAGCCAAGGATGACCTTGGAGTCTCGATCCTCCTGCCTCCACCTCCCAAGCGCTGGACTTACAGGCACGAGCCAACATGTCTGACTTTACCCCAGACAACTCTCTCCAAGTTGGTCTGAGTTGCTGGAATACTCCAAGGCCCAAAGGCCTCCAGACTTGTGCCTGAGAGTCTTCGCCAAGCCTGGTTGCTTCTAGGATGCCCTGGAATTCCTCCCCTCCCCTCCTGGGAGCCCTGAGTTCTTCCAATCTCTTAAAATGTCTTAGCATCTCTGGGCCCCTGATCCTCCCTTTCCTCTTCCTCAGCCGGTACCTTCCTCCAAGCATCTCTTCCGGCAGGCCCGTGTCCCCACCCTCCCCTGCCCCGCCAGCCTCTGACCCTGTCCCCTCTCACAGCATCAGCTGGTGTGCCAGCCAGGGCTCAACAGAGGCCTCATCTTGGATCTTCTTGAGAAAATGAGGAATCCTGGGAAGGGGGCACCTGCTGGGGAGCCTGACGACGAGGAGCCTGAGGTGAGGCCTCAGTAGAGAAGGACGTGGGAGCCTTAGGGCCCTTGCACAGTGTCTTCCTTCTGCCAGGAGAGCCCCGGGAAGTCCGGAGTAGAAGGAAATGGTCTGAGGAAGGGAAGCCTGGCAGGGTGGCATGCGGACGTCTAGAAGAGGGCGCGGCTGGAGGGCAGCCGTGGGGTGAGGCAGGATTGCTAACATAACCTTTCTGTCCAGCCACCCCCTGCCATCCCTCGGCGGATCAAATCCACCCACCGGGCCAGCTCACTGGGGATCCCAGACACAGACTGCTGTCGTGAGTTGACAACCCTACAGTTTGGGCCTCCTCGCTCACTGTCTGGGCTCAAATTCTTGGAATTCAAGAAATTCTTGGCCGTGTAACCTTCAAACTGACCTCAGAGTCCCCTCCCCAGAATCTCATGAGACCTCCCAGGTCTGACCCCAAAGATACCCCGAGAGTCTATCTAAAGGCCTGGTGGTGCACACCTTTAATCCCAGCACTCAGGATGATCACTGTGAGTTCAGGGCTGCCTGGTCTACATAGTGAGTTCCAGGCCAGGGCTACACAGTGAGACCTTGTCTCAAAACAAAACAACGACAAGAAAAATACCCCCCCCCCCAAAACAGAAAATACCCAAAGACTAAAAATAAAACACAAAACAAAAGAGCCCATACACAGGCTGGGGGGCTATAGCTCAGTTGGTAGAGTACTTGCCTTGCATACACAAGGTCCTGGGTTCAGTCCCAGCATTGACTAAACCTGGCGTGGTGAAGTTTAACTGCGCTCCCAGCACTTGGGAAGTGGAGGCAGGAGGATCAGAACTGCATGGACATCATGTAATGAGTTAGAGGCCAGGACGACGGGAGAGCCTGTCTTAAAAATGCATAGGGGCCAGTGAGATGGCTCCGTGTCTGAAGGAGCTTGCTGCTAAGCCTGATGACCTGGACCCACCTGTGGAAGGCTGGAACCAACTTCTGCGAGCTGGCCTCTGACACACATGCCTCTCTCTCACACAAAACAAATAAATACCTGTAATTTTTCATAAATTAAAAAAAAAAACTGTGAGAACCCCTAATTCCTAAGTAAAGCCTGAAAACAAACATCTCACACCTGCTTTGAGCCCCTCTAACCCTCTGATGTCACTCCGAGACCCCCAAACATGACCCCTGTAAACATGAGCCCTTCCCTCCGGGGACAGTGGCCATCCTTAAAGCCCTGGCTCCAGCCCCGCACCCCCACTCCTGATTCACTAATTTGTCTTATCCCCACTTGTCAGGGCGGCACATGGAGTTCCAGAGGCTCAGAGGAATGGAACCCAGACCTGCAGCTGACACTGTGAGACGCCTCTATGCTCGCCCGATACGTCCCCTCTTCCCTGTTCTGCCCTGGGTCATTCTGACTCTTTCCTGTCTCACAGGTTTGCTTACAGCCCCCTGGAGACTTCAGGAGCACCAGTCCCAGGTCCAGGACCCCTCCCCCGGGCTGGCGGGGAGGGCCGTGGGTTATGTGGGAGCCACCTGAGGCTCATGCCTGTCGTTCTTCAGGAGCCAACTGTCAGAGTCTGATGACGACTATGATGATGTGGACATGTAAGACCCCATGAACCCTCACTGCGGCCCCAACCTTTCCTGTCACCCCATTGCTTCAGCTGCGGTCTTCCCTCCTCCTCGCCAATCCCTGGTCCCCAAACCCACTGGACCCTCCACCTTCACCTCTGACCCCTGGACCCCTCCCCCATCCCTTCTTCCTCAAACCCTCCCTTCCTACTGCAGATTGACCTTAAGGTTTCCTACATATTACACAGGCGCTCTATCACTGAGCTGCATCCCCAGCCCTCCGCTCTGGTGTCTAAGCAGGCGCTCTATCACTGACCTGCATCCCCAGCCCTCCACTCTGGTGTCTAGGCAAGTGCTCTATCACTGAGCTACATCTTCAGCATTCTTTTTACTTAAAATATTTTTTTTTGTTTTGTTTTTTTTCCGAATAGGATTTCTCTGTGTAGCCCTTGTTATCCTGGAATTCACTCAGTAGACCAGGCTGGCCTCGAACTCAGAGAGACTCACCTGCTTTTGCGTCCAGTGCTGGGATTAAAGGCATGTGCCACTCCCAGCCTTAAATTTTTTTTTTTAATTTATTCTATGTGTTTCAGTGTTTTGTTTGTTTGGACAAATATGGTCCTGGTGCCTGTGATGGTCGGTAGAGGGCATTGGATCCACCGGACTAGAGTTTCAGGCTGTTGTGAGCTGCTTTGTGGGTGCTGGGAACCAAACCCAGATCTTCTGAAAGAATAACAAGTGCTCTTAACCACCGAGCACTTCTCCAGCCCCTCTTTTTAATTTTTAATTAAGTAAAAAAAAATTTTGAAGCCTGGAGGTGGTGACGCACACCTTTAATCTCAATGCTTAGGGTACAGAGGCAGGCAGATCTCTGAGTTTGAGGCCAGCCTGGTCTACATAGTGAGTTCCAGGACAGCCAGGGCTACACAGAGAAACCTGTCTCAAAAAACACAAAAACAAAACAGACAAATAACCAACCAAACAAACAAACAAACAAACAAAAAAAACAAAAAGAAAATTGAGACAAAATCTCACTATGTAGCCCCAGCAACATCTTTAGAAAAAGGGGGCCTCAAGTTCGCAGAGATCCCCCTGCTCTGCCTTCCAGGCACTGGGATTAAAGGGGTGCCAAGCTTCTTCTGCTTTTTTATTTGATACAGGTTAACACTAAGTTGCCCAGGCTGGAATTGAATTCATTCTGTAGGCCAGGCAATCCCCCTGCCTCAGCTTTCTAAGTAACTGGTATTACCTGCCCAACCAGGCCTGGCTCCTTCTACCTCCTACAACCTTTTATCTAGTCCCCAACTTTGGCCCTGAGCTGCCCTCCAGCCCAGGCCTGACCCGCCCGGACCCTCACAGCTCTGGTGCCTCATCTGCTTCCCAGGCCCAGATTCCTCTGCCTACCCCCCAACCTCAGCTTCGACCCCCACCTCCTCCCCCAGCTCCTATCATCTTCCCACTGAGCCCAAGACGGTCTCAATCCTCTTGCCTCTGCTTTCCAAGTAGGTGAGATTACAGGCTAGTGACCGAGGCCCGACCTCAGATGAAATCTTGACCCATGGAAATTTCCCACATCAGGTTTTAAGTCTCAGGCCTCCCTGTGCACCCAGCAGTTACCCCAAGTCCCCACGCTCTCCCCGCCCTGGCTCGGGGACAGTCTCCAGCCCACTTCCCACTCAGTCCCCACCTTCTGTGCACTGGCATGCCGGGCAGAGGGTGAGGAATGGAGCGGACCTTGGGGATCTCAGGGACCATGTAACATCCCAGAGCTGCTACTGCTCCTGTCGCCATGGCTGTCAGTCACAGAGTCCTCAGCTCCAGCCACTCCAGGCCACCAGCCTGAAACCCCCCCCCCCCCCCCCCACCACCACCCCGTCCTTACACCCACACCTGCTCACCCTATGGTTGTGTTTCAGCCCTGCCCCAGCAGAGGACGTGCCTCCTCCACTGCCCCCCAAGGTAAGGCCCTGGGGTCCTGAGGCCAAGGCCTTTGGTGCTGGGACGATTTAAATGTCTATAATTTGGCAGGGCGATGGTGGCACACGCCTTTAATCCCAGCACTTGGGAGGCAGAGGCAGTGGATCTCTGTGAGTTCAAGGAAGCCTAGTCTACAGAGTGAGATCCAGGACAGCCAGGACTACACAGAGAAACCTTGTCTCAAAAACAACAAAACAAAACAAAACTGTTTAGAGTTTGAAGCCAGAGGTGTCTGAATATTACAGAAAGCTTAAGTGTTTGGGGTACAGGATAGATATATAGAAACTCAGCTGAAGCTGGGTGTGGTGCTGCACCCAGGGTGTGGAGGCAGGAAGATCAAGAGTTCAAGATCATCCTTAGGTACGTAGCAAGTTCAAGACCAGCCTGGGCTACACAGTGCCAGAGTGAGATGCTGTCTGTTTAAAGCAGGGCTGGGTATCTGGGAATCTGGAGTGATGGGTCCTGTCAAGAAGCTGGCCTAATGCCCAGCATTAACCCTTTGTGCTCTGCTGTGTGCCCATGTGAGGATGTGGTTCTGGGAAATGGTAGAACCAAGGCAGGCTGTCATGGGGAGGATCATAGCTATGGCTGATTCTTGGTCCTGGAAGAGGCAGGGATTGGGGTGCAAGGTGCACCTTCTTCTGGAACCTCTCACATATCTGTTTCTCCCATACTCCTGTCTCCATAGCCCAAGTTCCGGTCTCCATCTGACGATGGTTCTGGAGGGCTAGGGGACGACGGACAGCTGAGCCCAGGGGTGCTGGTCCGGTGTGCCAGTGGGCCTCCTCCTCGTACCCCTCGTCCGGGGCCTCCCCCAGCCACACACAGCCCCCATCTCACAGCCCACTCAGGTATCAGGCCTGCCCGGGGAGGACGATGGGCAGGGTTGGAAGCCTCTCGGCCTGATCTTGCTTCAACTGCTATCAGATCCCTCACTGTGGAACTCAGCCGCGCCGGAGCCAGGTCAGCCCCCACTCCTGCCCCCTAAGAAGGAAAAGATGAGGAGAAAGGTGAGAGTTAGCTACAGGTTCAAGATAGGCTGGCCCAGGGGGAGATGGGTTGGCATCTCATGGGTGACATTTATTGAGTCCTTCCTCTGTGCCAGACACTGATCTTGTGGGATGTGTGTATGTGTCTGTAGGTGGATGGATGCACAGGCACACAGGTAGAGGCACAGGCTTGTAGGTGTAATTTTCTGTCCCACCAGTCAGTTCCCAAATAACCACACAGAGACTTATTATTAATTATAAATGCTCAGCCAATAGTTAAGGCTTGTTACTCTTACAAATTAACTCAAATTAATTAACTCATCTTGCTGCTTTCTGCATCTGCTGGTGACTCTGCCCTTCTTCATCCCAGAGGTCTCTCTCCCTGTCCAAAAGTCCCACCTAACCTCTTCCTGCCTAGCTTTTGACCAGTCAGCTCTTTATTAAACCAGTGAGAGCACCACATCTTCACAGTGTACAAAAGGACTGTTCCGCAACACAGGCACATGGTGGGTGCACATATGAAGGCCAGAGGGCATCAGGTGACCTGCTCTATGACTCACCATTATTTCTTTGAGACAGAGTGTCTCACTGAAGGCGGAGCTGGGCTGGTGCCAACAAGCGTCAGGGATCCTCCTGTCTCTGGGAGGATCATAGCTTATGACCAGCTTTTTTTTTTTTTTTTAACTTTTATGCTTTTCTCATATATTACATCCTGATTGCAGTTTCCCCTCCCTCTACTCTTCCCAGTCCCTTCCCCCACCTCCCCTTTCCCCCAGATCAGCTCCTTGTCTGTTTCCCTTTTTTAAAAAAGGAAAAGAAACAAAGAGCAGGCCTCCCAGGAATATCCACCAAATATAGCCTAACAAGATACAGTAAAACTAGGCACAAGCCCTCCTATCAGGTCTGGACAAGGCAACCCCGTAGGAGGAAAAGGGTCCCAAGCACAGGCGACGGAGTCAGAGGCACCCCACTGCCACTGTTGGGAGTCCCACAAGAACAGGGAGCTACACCTCATAGGTGTGCGCAGAGGACCGAGCTCAGACCCATGCAGGGTCTGTGTGTGTCCTTCAGTCTCTGGGAGCCCCGCTTAGTTGATTCAGTGGACTGTTCTCATGGTGTCCTCAGCCCCTCTATCTCTTACAATCCTTCCCCCCCCCCCCTTCTTAGGGTTCCCCTGGCTCTGCCTAGTGTTTGGCTGTGGGTCTCTGCATCTGCTTCCATAGGTTGCTGGATGGCACCTCTCTGCTAACAATTGTATGCCCATCTTTTTCACATGGGTGCTGGGAGTCTGAACTCGGGTCCTCACATTAGCACAGCAAGTGCTCTTCCCTGCTGAGCCCTGATCTGTGTCCTACATGAAAACAGATACCGCCTACTCTGCAGCGGCGCTGAGGCAGGAAGATGGAGCTGCAGGGCCAGGGTGCCGTTTGGCCTTCCCATCACTGATAAAACCTGGGCCAAACCAGCTCGGGGAAAAAGGCTTGGCTTGGTGTCCACCTCACCTCACAGTCCATCCGAGAAGTCGGGGCAGGAACTGAAGCAGAGGCCGAGGAGGAGCCCTGCTGTCTGCCTCGCTCCCCGTGGCTAGCTCAGCCTGCTTTTCCATAGGACCCAGGTCACCGGCCCAAGCTGGCACCTTCGAGAGGGGCTGGGCCCTCCCGTATTAATCAGTAATTTTTTTAAAAGTTCCACAGTCTGGCAGAAGCATTTCCTCAGTTATGGTACCCGCTTTCGAAATGACTCTAGTTTGTGTACGTTGACAAAACGCTGAGGCAAGAGAGCTTACCTAGAATTCTGCAGTGAAAGGTTGGGGCCGTAGCTCACCAGGAGAGAGCTTGTCCAGTTCAACAGTGAGGGGCTGGGGGGGGAGGGGGGCTCCACGGAGGAGAGCTTAGCTGCTATGTGCTATGTGCAAAGCCAGGACCTGCAAGGCAGGAGTAAGGGGCGGCGGCTTCTGGGTTATGTGGGGTACATAGGAGAGGGACCCCAGAGGTGGCTGTTTTCTGTTCCACAGATGGAGAAAGCGAGGCGCCAAGAGGTAAGCAGTTTACCCAGGGTCACCCATAAGACATTCCCCTTTATCCATGTAGGATCCATTTCAGGACACTCCCCCCTCGCATGGGTGCCTCAAACTGGCTAGTACCCAACCCTGTATGTTCCACTGATACATGTGCCTGTGAGGGGTTTCACTGACAGGCACAATAAGAAGTTTACTGTAGAGTCGGGGTGTGGTCGCACATCTCCAATCCCCAGCACTGGGGAAGTAGAAGCAAGAGGATCAGGAGTTGAGAGCCAGCCTGGGCTACATAGAGAACCCAAGGCCAGTCAGGACTACATGAGACCCCATGTAAAAAAGATAAAAAGCTAAAACAAAACATAATTTGTTTTTGTTTTTCAAGACAGAGCTTCTCTGTATAATAGTTCTGGCTGTCTTAGAACTCACTTTGTAGACCAGACTGGCCTTGAACTCACAGACATCCACCTGCCTCTGCCTCCCGAGTGCTGATTAAAGACCACCACTTCCTGGCAATTGTATTTATTTATTTATTTATTTATTTATTTATTTATTTATTTATTTATTTATTTATTTATTTAATGTGCACTGATGTTTTGCTTGCCTGTATGTCTGTGTGAGGGTGTCAGATCCTTTAGAACTGGAGTTACAGACAGATGTGAGCTGCCATGTGGGTGCTGGGAATTGAACCTGGGTCCTCTGGAAGAACAGCCAGTGCTCTTAATCACTGAGCCATCTCTCCAGCCCTGACATTTTTTTTTTTTTTTTATTTTCGAAATCTTTCATGCGATGTTTTTGAGACCATGCCTACACAGATGGGGGGTGGGAAGTGGGGTTCTGCATCTCTAAGGCATAGGCAGCGTCTGAACCCTGCACTCATCTGGCTGTCCCCTGATCATTGTTGCTAACCACTGACCACGGCCGTCCAGGGATGCGCCCTTCTTGTGAAGTTATTCAACGGCTGCCCCCTCCAGATCCACAGCACAGCTGCCTGGACACATCCCTCTACTAAAGGTGGGCATTCAGGAGGTCCAGAGCTGCCTGGGGTGAGGGGCCAGGCGGGGATGGTGGGGCCCTAATGGGAGCACAAAGAGGTATAGGAAGAATATTTTTATTTTTATTTTATTTGAGTGATTTCACCTGCATGTATGCTTGTCTACTATGTGCATGTAGTGTTGGCAGAGGCCAGAAGAGGGCACTGTATCCTCTGGAACTGGAATTACAGATGACTATTCCCTGGCATATGGGTGCTGGGAACCGAACCCAGGTCCTCTGCAAGAGCAACAAGTGCTCTTAACCACTGGGCCGTCTCGCCAGCCCCAGGAGGGTCTTTTTGTTATTTAAGATTTAGGTCTTTATTTTTAGATAATGTCTTTTTTTAAATATGGTATTATCATTTGAGAATGCCTTACAATATATTTTGATCATCTTCACCCCCTGCTCTTCCCAGATCCAGCCCTACTCTCCATCCCTTCCCAGCTCACTGTCCTTTTTTGTAAGTCATGGAGTCTAATTTATGTTGTCCCTTACTCATGACTGTGAGGCCATCCACTAGAGTGGGGTTAACCCTCAAAGAAAGCTGACTTTTCCTCCCCAAGAAACTATCAACAGGTGGATGCTGTGCACAGGTTTGTGCACATCAGCCCAGGTGTTTGCAGAGCCCAGAAGAGTGTGTAAGAGCCCCTGAAGCTGCAGGTGCAGGTGGCTGTGAGCCTCCAGGCATGGGTGCTGGGAACCCATCAAACCAGGCCCTCAGTGAGCGGCAGGTGCTTAGCTCTGGAGGGAGGGCCTTAGTGGAGTGACGTTGACGAGCCAAATCTGGAGCAGACACTGTGGGTAGTGTCAGATCTGGAGAGCCATGAGGGGAAGTGAAAGGTGACTTCAAAGGTGAACACTATAGAAGACGGAGTTTAGAGGCCAGAGGTGTTCGAATAAGACAGTTTAAAGTCAGGGGTACGTGACGGAGGAATCGAAGGTCACCTCCATGTTGATGGCAGAGACCAGGATCAGCTTTGGGGGGTAAGATTTGGGGGTCAGTATTAAATAACATAAGAGGCTTGGAATGGAGGTGTGCACCTTTAGTCCCAGCACTCCTGAAGCTGAGGCCAGCCAGGGCTATGCAGCAAGAGCCTTTTAAAACAGACAGCATAGTAGTGCAAAGCACGCTAGGAAGTCAAGGCTTGGTTTCAGAGAGAGGTCAAGGGCCAGTGGGATACTTGTGACCAGAGCTCTTCAAACAAGAGGCAGGCTTGGGAGATGGCTCAGCAGTTAATCATGGGGGCTGGCTTAGGGGTCTGAGCAGGGTTTGAGTTCAGACTTGAGAAGATACAAGGTGGGGGTGTTAGTCTGCAGGGAGAGTTAGTATGAAAGGATGGTGGTGGGGTGGAGGGCCAGTTTGGGACAAAGATTAGGAGGTCCTTGCCCACAATGAGAGACCCGCTTTGTCTGGCCCACTCAGACCAGCACCTGCTCCTGGGTGCAGAGGAAGGCATTTTCATACTGAACCGGAATGATCAGGAGGCCACGCTGGAGATGGTGAGGGATGGGGTCAGTGCTGGGGGGGTGGGGTGGCGTTGGGTGAATAGGAATCACAGAAGTCACCCGCATTCTCCGCAGCTCTTCCCTGGACGGACAACCTGGGTGTACTGCATCAACAACCTGCTCATGTCTCTCTCAGGTCAGCCTGTGGACTTGGGGAGGGGCAGGGGCCAGGAGTTAAGGGTTGGGGTGGAGGTAATGTGTGGATGAGTCCTTAGCTTCACTGACACTGAGGTTCAAGTCGCCCCTTTCCTTCTGGGTGAACTGAAGGCAAGGGGGCTTCTTTCCCTGGGCCTCAGTTTCCATATCTGCACAATCTCGGAATTTTCCATATCTCGGAAATCTTCCCCTCTCAAGTTGGTTGTGAGTTAAGTTTTACAATAAATTCGTCTTTAAATACCTTCGACATCTCTGAGTATAGCTGCTACACCCCTTTAACCCCAAAGCATAAGAGACGGGGCAGGTGGGTCTGACACACCTAGTCTCCCTTTCAGTCCATAACAGACTGAAGAAATTACAGGGGTTTTTGTTGGTTGGCGTTTGGTAAGTAACAGGGCCGGTGCATGCTTACAGATGTGCTTACAGATGTGCTACCATTGAGCTGTATGTCCAGCAGCACCCTTCCCCCATGTTTTTTTGAGACAGAATTCCCACTGTGTATCCCAGGCTAGCCTTGAACTTGGGGTGGTTCTCTGGCCTCAGCCTCCCAAGTCCTGAGATTATAAGCAAGTCTGCCACTCCTGGCATAGGTAGGTGTTTGGTTTTTGTTAAATTTTTACAGGTACCAGGTGTGGTGACACACCCCTGTAATCCTAGCACTGAGGGTGGAGCCAGGAAGATGGGAGTTCAAGACCCATCTCAAATACATGGGGGCGTTAAAGGCCAGCCTGCACCCCATGAAACCCTGTTTTGAGAAACAAGCACCAAAAATACAGAAGTAAACCTCAAGTGCAACTTCGTAGGCTACTTAAACTTCCCTCACCTGGCTGTGGTGCTATGAGGGCAGAGACCAGCCCTGCTCTCTATCTGTCTGTCTGTCTGTCTGTCCACCCCCCAGCAGATCACAGTGCCTGGATCACACTCGTCCTTTCAGACATGAAGGGTGCAAAATGTGTGAAAGGAAAGTGGGATCTGCATGTCGGGGAGCTTCCAAGGGCGGGGCTCGCCAAGGGCTGGGAGACAAGAGGTGGTAAGGGGTCCTAAACTGCCTCCCTCCCCTCCCATGCACAAACTGCAGGGAAGACTCCCCACCTGTATTCTCATAGCATCCTGGGCCTGCTGGAGAGGAAGGAGATCAGAACAGGAAGCCCCATCGCTCACATTAGCCCTCACCGGTTTCTGGCAAGGTACCAGCCCCAGAGGGTACCACTGGCTTCCCTGCCCCAACTGCCATCCGGTTACCACTCACACCTCCTTCTTCTTCAGAAAGAACATGGTCTCCACCAAGGTCCAGGATACCAAAGGCTGCCGGGCCTGCTGTGTGGGTGAGAACCAGCCTCGGGGTGCTGGGTGGGTGGGTGGGGGTTGGTGCCTGGACAGTATCCACTCAGTAAGGCTGAGGCAAGGTGTCCAGGGCCCCGAGGAAGGGTACAGGGTGGTCTGGGAAGGAGACCGGGACCCTGACCCACCCTTGTCCACTTCCACAGCCGAGAGTACCAGCTCTGGGGGCCCATTCCTGTGTGGGGCGTTGGAGACGTCTGTGGTCCTGCTCCAATGGTACCAGCCAATGAACAAGTTCCTGCTCGTCCGGGTAAGTTCGCAGGGCAGGGGTGCGGCACTTTGGACCTACCCCATTTGTACTTAGTTAAAGAACTGGATGAACCCTCTCCCAGGACCCCTGCCCCCCATGCTGAGGCATTTTGAAAACTTCCTGAGGGTCTGGAGAGATGGCTCAGTGGTTAAGAGCACTGGCTGCTCTTCCAGAGGATCCAGGTTCAATTCCCAGCACTCACATGGCTGCTCACAACTGTCTGTGACTCCAGTTCACCCTCACACAGACATACATGCAAACAACACACCAATACATACAAAATAAAAATAAGTAAATCATTTTTTTAAAAAAATTCTGATCCTTAAGCCCTGCTCCTCACATCTGAGCTTAATTATTTCTCAGTCTCCAAGAGTCTGTCCTTTGGAGTCTAAAGTGTTTTTGCTGTTTTTGAGTCTAAAGTGTGTGCGTGGGTGGGGGTTCCCTGCCCTTCTGCCCCGGGCTGACACGCCTCCAGACAAGCCACATTTACGCTAAGGGCACGCTTTGTTTCTAATGCGGCCTGAAATTCCCTGAGGGCCTCGGCCACTGTCCCAGCAGCCTCCCTAAGCCGCCCTTCCCTTGCGGCCTGCAGCAGGTGCTGTTCCCGCTGCCCACGCCGCTGCCCGTGTTTGCGCTGCTGACAGCGCCGGGCTCCGAGCTGCCGGCGGTGTGCATCGGCGTGAGCCCCGGGCACGCGGCCAGGTCGGTGCTCTTCCACACCGTGCGCTTTGGTGCCCTGTCCTGCTGGCTGGACGACTCCAGCACGGGTGAGTGGGCTGTGCAGGGGAGGGTGGGGCTACTGGGGAGGGAGGGGCTGCAGGGGAGGGAGGGGCTGCAGGGGAGGGAGGGGCTATTGGGGAAGGCGGGGCTACTGGGGAGGGCGGGGCTATAGGGAAGACGGGGAGTGCTGCAGGATAGAGGAAATGGGGGAGAGGTTGCAGACAAAGGCAGAGCTGCAGGGATGGCGCGGGAGGAGCGGGTTCAGGCTGCAGGGAAGGGGTGGGGCTGCGGTGAGAGGGCGGGGCTTCAGAAAAGTGGCCTGGTTGCCAGAAAGGACAGGGCTGTGGGGAGGGGGCTGCATGATGAGGTGGGCCGAAGGGTGGTGGGACTACAGGTTAAGGCAGCTCGGAGAGGCGAGTTTCCCCTTGTGGAGGCGAGGGTCAGAGTGGCTGGGCAGCTAAGGCTGAGCCGGGGTCAGATGGATAACCGGGTGGGACCTGAGGGGTGCTAGCTGAACCGAGGGCCCGGCAGTTCGTTCTTCAGCCCCTGCCTCTCATGCAGAGCACAAGGGACCAGTGCAGGTGACCCAGGTCAAGGAAGACATGGTGATGGTGTTGATGGACGGTAAGAGCTTCCTCCCTCCCCTTCCTGGTCCTCAGCCCGGGACTCCGTGTTCCAAACCTCCCCTCCACTTCCTGCTAGGCTCTCTGAAGCTCGTGACCCCAGAGGGGGCCCCAGCTCCCGGGCTTCGCACCCCTGAGATCCCCATGACGGAAGCAGTGGAGGCTGTGGGTATGTGCTGGGAGGGGAGGGCCTGGGGTCAAGGGTGAGAGCTCTGTGACCTGAAGGGTCACGGGCAACTGCTTTCTCTCCAGCTATGGTTGGAGACCGACTCCAGGCCTTCTGGAAGCATGGAGTTCAGGTGTGGGCTCCAGGCTCGGAACAGGTAGGCAATTTCAGTTCACACCACTGCCTTGCCTTGTCCTCATCTTCTCATCCCTTAACTAGGCTTGGAGAGGCCCTGGGTCAGGACAGGGACTCCTGCCAGGAAGCTTGGGGACACACTTCTTCATCTGCATGCCTCCCCGCCCTTGGTGGGAACAGGCTCGTCTCACAAAGCAGCAGGCTGGCTTCTCCGACCTTTAATGGACTCTTTACAGTGGCCAACGGATAGGGCACTATGGTTTTTCAAGTTAGTGGTCTTGGCACAGAGCAGTTAAGTCACTTGCTCAAAGTCACACATTTCATGAGTAGCTCTGGGGTTGGAGGTCTCCTTAGGAAGCCATGTTAGTAGAGAGGGAAAGTCGTACAGACACATCCCCGCTTTCTCCACAGCTGCTGCAGGAGCTGAGAGACCCCACCCTCACCTTCCGTCTGCTCGGCTCCCCCAGGTATGGTGGTGGGGAGATGGACAGAGGACCGGGAGGGGCTGCTGGTGTGGAGTTAGGTTTCTGCGGCGGTTTCTTCTTTGGCCTAGAACACCCTTCCACACTTCTTTACTAAGCTCGCTCCTGAGGCTCCGGCTCCACCATGATTCTTGGGAGCCTTGGCCAACCTCCTGGGGAGAAGCCCCTGCTTCTCTGTCTTCCTGTAGCCCACCAATCGGGGTGTGTGTGTGTGTGTGTGTGTGTGAACTCCCCAGGCTCCATTACTGCTGTTGCTATGAGACAGCGTCTCACCGGGTAGCCCTGGTCGCTCTCCAAATCTCCTTTTTCCTTTATTGCACTGGGGAGGGACAGGCGTGTGCTGCAGAGGGCACCTGGAGATCGGAGGCCATCTCTGGGAGAGAGACGGCTCTCTCCCTCTCCCAGGTGGGTCTCGGGGATTGAACTCCAGTCATCAGGTTTGGGGCAAGCACCTCACCTGCTGAGTCATCTCGCCAGCCCACTTCAGACTCCTTATGTGGCTGAGGACGACCTTGAACTGCAGATCTTCCTGCCTCAGCCTCCCAGTTGTTGGGATCGTAGGCATGTGCCACCATGCTGCTTAGTCATGGTCACAGCCCAGCACTGACACAGTTCCAGTAACTCCTTGGAGAATGAACTAATGAATGAGTGAATGACTCGGCCTCTCTCTTCTTCAGGCCTGTCGTGGTGGAGACACGGCCCTCGGACAACCCCACCGCCCCTAGCAACCTCTACATCCAGGAATGACCATCTGAGAGAGCACGAGAAACGGACCTCTGTGGACTCCTGAAGACACTAGTGGCCATGACTTGTCCTTATCTTCCAATAAACATGACTTCGGTCTGTTGCCATCTTGCTTCTCTGGGGTGGGGGCAGATTTTTGGATGCCCAGTCCCCCCCCCCAATTTAAATGATGCAACACAATGATGCTGGGGTATGGCATAGGCTTTATTTGTCGAGTTCAGCATCACCTGTGCCCAGCTGCCTGGACAGAGCTTATGGCGGGAGTAAGGCACTTGAGGTGGGGAGGCCAGCTGCAGACCTCAGCTAAGCTGGTCCTCATACTGCTTGCGGAAACAGTCCCCAGCAGGGAAGAAATCCCAGCACCTTTCCTGGTACATCTTCCAGACATACGACTCCTGCAGTTGGGGGGACAGGAGTCCTTTGGTCACATCTTCAAATTCAGGGTTTCTCTGAGACGAGTTTATTGAGTACACTCAGCGTGTAACTAGAGTACAGCCTACTCATCCCCCATTAGCATCCCTTACCTGACCGGTGTGCTCTGTCTCATCCTTGTTGATCAAATACATCAGGAAAAACCTAGGGACAGAGGACCACAGGGGAAAGACAACAACCATACTTGCATTGCAGTTTAGTTTTGTTTTCAAGTACTGAGGATGAAACCCAGAACCCAGTACATGCTAGGCAGGTATTTTACCACTGAGCCATACCCCAGCCCCTCACTGGGGGATTCTAGGCAGGTATTTTACCACTGAGCCACACCCCAGCCCCTCACTGGGGGATTCTAGGCAGGGGCTCTACCACTGAGCCACACCTCCAGCCCCTCACTGGGGGATTCTAGGCAGGGGCTCTACCACTGAGCCACACCCCAGCCCCTCACTGGGGGATCCTAGGCAGGGGATCTACCATTGAGGTAGCCCCTCACTGGGGGCTTTTGCTCTATCACTAAGCCACAGTGATATTTACCTTCTGGTTGACTGAAAACATGGATACCCACACTCCTTTCCATAACTGGCCCAGACTCAGCAGCCCTGCCCTGGCTGTCGACAGCCTCACCCCCACCCTCTGGCTCACCCACCACTTCCCATCCTCACATGTAATTGGCCAGGTTGTGCTCCTCCAGAGTGTGGGTCTCGAACCCATGTGGGGTCGTGTCAAAGTAGTCACTGCCTATTCCGCAGATGAAGCACTTAGTCTGAGGATGAGAGACGTCAGAGTCAGAACCCACGTAACATCCCTGGGACCCCAGAACCTGAGATTCATCCCTGGACCTGACGTACCTCCATGTCTTCCTTCACTTGCTCTTGTTGGTCTCGAAGCTCCCCAAAAGCATCAATAATCAGACCTGGGGTGGCAGGACACAGGTCAGGACCCATGGACACCCAGCACCTCTGGGCCTTGCCTTTCCTCCATGGGTTCCCTAATCTCAGCACACTTCCCAAGCGGAACAGAACCAGGCATTCATTGAGTACTTCCTATGGGGCAGACACTTCAAAGAAACGCAATGCTTAATCTCCATGGCTGTCTTAAACACCTTACCCTTGACTGGCCTGGAGCGTCGACCAGGATGGCCTCAAGTTTACACAGGCCTCCAGCCTCTTACTATGTAGACCAGGTTGGCCTCGGGGTTATGCGGGCCTCCAGCCGCTGCTTCCCAAGTGCTGGGATTATAGTCATGTGCCATTGTGCCTGGTTTTAACACCTCCATTTTTCAGATAGAGAAACCGAGGCTCAGAGAAACCACCTTCCTGAGGTCTCACCGTAGGAAGAGGCTAAGCCAGGGAGGGAGCCAGCCCCCAGATCCTAGGCACTCCTCACACACACACACCCAGCCAGCCGCACTGACCCTGAATGATGGCCAGCAGGATGACAATGACAAAGAAGAAGAAGGTGATGTCGAAGACAACGCGGTAGAGTTCGTACTCGTCACCCGCTGGGTCCTCGATCTCGTCCCCGATGCCTCCACCGGCCCGTACACCCACATACATGTGGAACAGGTAACACTGAGGAGGAGGGAGGGTTCACTCAGACAACAGTCACCATCACCTGCCAGAAGCCTGGACTGGGCAGGCCTGGAGACACAGCCGTGACAGACACAGCCCTGGGCCCTGCCTCTCACAGCCGGGGACGTGTCAGAGCTGTCACCAAAAGGTCCTGGCAGGTGATCGATTTGACAGGATTAGACGCCCCTAGGAGGCCACTTCTGGGCACGTCCATGAGGAAGTTTCTAGACTGAGTTGACTGAGGTGGGAAGACCTAGCCTGAATGTGGACCCAGTGTGTGGTGGGGTCCCAGAATGAACCACAAGGAGAAAGCTTTCCTTCCCTTTGCTTCCTGACTAGGGACTCAGAGTGACCAGCACCTCATGCTCTGGACACCATGACAGGCCGGCTGTATTCTTGAATTAGGGTCCAAAACCATCCCTTAAGTTGTCTTTGTTGGGTATTTGGTCACACTGGACAGAAATGTAACTAATACAAGGGGTTGGAGCTGGGGACTTACCCCAGTTGGTACATCTTGTGCTTGCCTGGCATGCACGCGGCCCTGCGTTTGATCCCCAGCACCACATGAAGCAGAGGTGGTGGCACCTGCTTGTCACCTCCGATGGTGGCAGGAGATTGGAAGTTCAAGGGCATCCTTGGCTACACTGGGGATTGGAATAGGATGGGGTGACAGGGACGGAGGGGTCGGGCTGGCTCGGGGAGGTACACTGTGATCACTGCGATCAGGAGAAAGCTCAGGAGCCCTCCCAGGCTCGGTGAGGACCAGAATGCCTCAGAGTGGCTTCACACAGGAGGGCGAGTGTGCGAGCTGGGAGCTGAAGGAAGTGTCCTGAGAACGGACGATGGCAGAGTATGCCAGGCAGTCCAAAACAATGCACCTCATCACCACTGGGGGCGAAAGAGTAAATCTGGGGGGCTGGGTGTGTAGCAAGGCCCGGATTCCAACCTTATCACACACACACACACACACACACACACACACACACACACACACACACACCAAAGTCTTTAAATTTTCTTTTGGGATGTAGGAGGCTGGAGCACTGGATCAGAGCACTGAGTGTTCTTCCAAAGGACCCAGGTTCAATTCTCAGACCCCACATGGTGGGTGGGAAACTCAGACACACATGCAGGCAAAACACCATACATAGAAAGAAAGAAAGAAAGAAAGAAAGAAAGAAAGAAAGAAAGAAAGAAAGAAAGAAAGAAAGAAAGAAAGAAAGAAAGAAAGAAAGAAAAAGAAAAAG